CAACATCATCACCCACCACACTCATTCATCTGCCACATCCCACGCAAGTGGGAAGTGTGTGTCTCGGCCGCGTCTCCATACGCCCCCTCCCGCGTCAAGCATCGTTACTCGGAAGATTGCTGACTGGCGTTCCAAATCAGTCCACGCAGTCTGCCCAACTGAGTGTGTGTTTGTGTGGAATGGCGGACTGGTGGGCTGAGAGCCAGGCTAAAACGGCTCCCTCCCTACGTGACCTACGGCACTCTCACGCATGTAAGATGTACGCCGTTCAACCTCCGTTGTGTGGAATCCTGGTGCTTCTGTTTGCGACGTCAGGTCGTGCATGATGCGCGTGTAGACAAGGTCGCTAGGCTATGTCAACCACCGTTCCCATCCGCTCACTTGTCAACTGACCGGCTCGTACAGTGGCTGGGGCCTGCGACTGGAAAGTTTAAGTGAGGTCGACGATTCAGCGTATTTTCCTCACTATAAACAACTTGACGCTCCTGAAGCTCCCATGGTGTTTTCGAATGAAAAATATTACTTAAGAAGCGTTAAAATATTCGTCATCAGGTAGCGTCATGGAAAGATATTTCAGTCACATCAAGATGCCAGTTTTGTGAACGAGATTCTCTCCGGCCACTTGCAATAACTACATTCTGTAAAAATGGCTACTTATGTAGAACGACTTTCTTTCATTGATTTTCGGCTGACTGATAATTTTCAGGCGCATCTTATGGGAAACATGCATAAAATATTCTTCCTTACGCTCATTTGGTGGAGAAATCATATTTATACGTGAAAAGGTGGTATGCTTCGTTCGGTTCAAAAAATATTTGGGTAATATGTGGTTACGTAGCTCCACCTGATGAACACCATACATTTGGGGATGGATTTGGGGGTTAGGGTTAGGGGTTAGGGCAACGTTTTCACAACCGCTCAACGTACAACCGCGCATTCCCAACCGCTGTTCTTTTGCATACAACCACTTGACCTCGTCAATAGTGCGTTCCCCTCCCAAACCTGTAAAAACCCCCTACTACCAACGGTCCCGTATTACAGGATGCAGGGGTTTGTTTACTTCAGGTGGAACTACATAACCACGTCTGACCAATATTTGTTCAGTCCCCAAATAATTTTGGACCCACCTTCTAGCGCATTTGCGTTTATGGTTTATAAACTACATACGAGAAAGGAAATTTACACGTTTCTATAAGATATCACGCGAACACGGTGAAGAGCTCATAGGAATTCCCGACTAGAATGAAAGTCCTGAATGTCATTCCGCAGATTCTTCAAAATAATAATCCTAAATGACTACGATACAGTGAGAATCACAGTCGAAACCTGGAATGATCGTACCGGCCGTCGTCTAAAATTGACTTGTAATAGGCTGTTGCACAGCACAGTTTCTTGAAAAGAGAGAACGACTGGCAAATCGCACCGACCAGACACAAACAGAAATATACTACCCATAGTCAATCGGCATCACATTTACAAGGGCCCATCTGCTAGTAGGGAGAACTTACGCTCCTTAAACGCCCACGATCAACCCAAAATTGTAGAAGAATAATTTATTTGGTCATGCGAAATAACTGGTGGATTTGAAAAGTAATTGTAATTATCGAACTGTAGATCAGAGGCGAGGACTTTAACAAAGGCGCTCTATGTGGGAATTGGAAAAAAAACTCGTGAATCTGCCGTGCAAATCATACAGCCTACTTATTCCTGACTCAGTCGATCCTGATTAGTCGATGCGTGGAAACAGCATGTAGGCGTAACCAGCTCTAAAACCGGATGCTACTCGCATTTCATGATCAATAGCGGGACGGAGAGCGCGCGAGTTGATGTCGAATGGCGTGCTGAGATGCTGCAATCTTTTGCACCCTATGTAAACTTGTTATCCACTGGAGTCTTAAGCGTCATGCAACCAAAACAAGTTCCGCATATGAATTTATTGGGGAGGAGAATGATGTGAGACGATACGACTTCCGGTTTCCAACAACGCGTCCAAGGATCATCGCGAGTTCAAGCACTTGACGCCGCCGTTGCACAGTATGCAGTACTTCCTGTCCCCGAACAAGGCCTCCGGCAAACTCTGCGAGGCATTCAAGCGAGACCTCTTCTCCACCGAAGTGCCGATAACGGCCGAAGAGAGGGATTTTCCTCTCGGTTTTATCCTTACCGTGTACAAAAGCATCAATCATGTGGCGCGTCTGATACGTCTCATATATCGGTCAAAAAATTTCTACGTCATTCACGTGGATAGAAAGTCACTACAGGCGTTCTATGACGCAGTCCGAGAAATCGCAAAATGCTTCGGTGCCAATGTTGGTGTGGTTCCTCGAAGCCAGAGTGTCAATGTCATCTGGGGAAAATACACGATCCTGGAGCAAGAACTCGTTGCCGCGCGAATCCTCCTGCAAATGGGGAAGTGGAAGTATTTCATAAATCTGACAGGCCAGGAATTGCCCCTGAAGACAAACTTGGAATGAGTTCTGGCACTCAAAATGCTAAACGGTTCCAGCATCATTGACACCACATTTAAACACTGCAATAAACACCGGATACCGAGACTTAGACCGTCACTTGCAGTAAGTGATGGTACCTGTAAGTCAGCTTATTTCATGGTGTCTTCAACCAAATCATGCACTCTGACGCATCTGCTAGCAGACCTGATAGCACCTGTAACGTGCTGTCTATGCGCTCCAGAGTTTTGCCTGGACAGTATTGTTCTTGCTCTGGTTGTTCTAAATCACTGTCAGTAGGTAGACGGAATGGGGAATTGCTGTGATGCAGACACCGCAAGGTACTGCAAGAAATAGCGCTGTTATGGCTAATGACGGGCGAAAGCACGTTTGTACGGTGTTGCAGAAAGCGAATTAAGTGAGGTTTAAATGCCAGTGTTGCGGTCTTTGTTTAGTCCGGCGTTAAGAAAGCAGAAGGAAAACAGGTAAGCCCTTATTGCGCGTTCAGTTAAATACAGCCTGAACTCAGAAGGTTCAGGTGTTTAGACAAATTGCAAGACGTATTGTAGGACAGCGCGTCGGTAATGGCCGAAGCTGGTCCGTTTAATCTTAAATCAGTAAGTCAGACCCCAGGCCCAAATGTAGCCTATCATATCTGTCAAGAAGGAGTGACTAAGATGTAATAGCCGTCTAGTTTGCCAGACCAGGCGGATATAGAAAGACTTAAATATTTGTCAGCTTTATTGGTGACTTTCACTTTGAAGCTGAAGACAGAACCAAATTTTGCTTTTTGTTCAAACTTACGCTTAACTTTAATCGAAAAAGAAGGTAAACGTTTGTAGATAAGCTGCTGCTTAACGCATTATTTAAGTGCAAAAATACAGACTACCTAAATCGGCATGTTGCATATTCTCAAACACACTGCCCAATTTCAGATGTTCACATGGTTAGCAAGTCATGTGCCGCGTAGTGTGCCTATGGACCCTTCGAAGTCTGTATGGAGAGGCTTCCTGATATTCATACACAAAGGGCAACAGTGAAGAATCTGAACGTAGGATGGCATGGCTTTAATCGGCGTAGCAGTCCCTTTGCCTAGGCAGGACGGTATCTGGTGAGGAATTCAGTAGTAAGCATAAAGATAAGGCGTGAACAGAAACTGCAGGTCTCAACATTTGGCTGCTAACCGATGTGGTAGAATAAAATAAGAGTAAAGTGATTGAACAAGACATTGCCAACGGCATGGAAGAAGAAACAGGGAACGCTTTCCCGCAGCCAATAGGGTGACGGACAAAGGATTACGAAGCTCATTAACACTCGCAGACAAAGATGAACAAAGACACCTGTCAGAGTGCTTAACGGTAGGTGTCAGTAACAACGCTCACGGAGAAAATCAGCCTAACCTTTTTTTGTAACCTTGCAATGCAGGCTGATATCAGACTGGATGAATGATTGGCCACACTCTGGACCATCTTGTCTACCAGAGTGCCTATGGTCAGCAGATTCTTTGATGTTCGGTTGCAATACCTGCACGGCCTGAACAAAGTACATATTTGTACACATGATTGACTTGTTTTGCCTGCCTACAGGGGATTGTGCCGTTGCAAGTGACGCTGTCTGGCAGTTTTGAATATATCTGTGTCACCTTGTTAATCACTGGGACTTTTTCATCGGACTTCATGCAGTGATCGAAATCCACAAATGCATGTGAGGATGTAGCTGTTATCGTTGTCAGTTTCACAGTTTTTCAGTCATGGGTCGGTCGACAGCGATCGGTTGTCAACTGTCTGAATGTATGTTTGCCTAGAATAAGCAGCATACCGACTACGACGGCCGCTCGTCAGCTATATATGCTGAGGTCAGGACTGACAGCGATCTACAACGGTCTACAGCGATCGCTTCTCAACTGTTTGAGGCTGCGATAGTGTAGATGAAGCAGCACACCGACTGCAGGTCAGATGAAACAACAATTGTATCTGGTTAGTACCTACACAAATAGCTATAGTAGGTATTATTTCTAGGCAACAGATGTTTGGGGACCCTCTCCCGATTGTTACCTGCGGTGGATGCTGTGCACGTGTATATTAACTATAAACAAAATCATGCACAAGTCATCGTCCCTGCACTCACCTTGTTGTGGAGCACACAGTTGACACAGTCGAAATCGACAGTCGAACCGTTGGTATGCATTGTCATGTATCTTACTGCCTGACATGAATATGCAAGTAGTACCTAGCTATGCCTGCCATAATTGCCGTTGTAGGAAAGAAGCATGAAGAAATTTGTTGGAGGCTGGCGAAGCTGATTCTCCTTATGCAGCCATCCTGTAGGGTGCGGATTTTGTAAAGTCTGGAATTAAATTCAGGCAGTTCGGGGACCAATGGGAAAAATGGACTCATGGGTGAGTATTGTTTCCATCCGGTTCTGATGACTGTACTTGGTAGGTAACCTGTGATTTAATGGGCACAGATTGAAGCAGCCGCGGGAGGGTCCTAAAATAGACACACCGACTCAAGAGATGGCGAGTTTTAGTGTCTTCGTGAGAGAGTAACCTCAATATTTTTCAATAGAGCCTTTATCATCCGCATTCAGGGCCTAGAAAAACTGGGTGGTCGGTGGGGGGAGTCCTGTAGGAATGGCATTTTAACATCCCTGAGGGAAGAGATCTCACATTCGGGACAATGTTTTGCTTTTAGAAACTGGTCTTTACGCAGCCTCAAATAGAGTCCCCACAGGCCTCGGGACGACGCCCACATCCACCTTATCCATATCCTATCCCTTGTCCGACTCCTCGAGGGCGGAAGCGGAAACATCGGATATACAAACACCTGCAGGTATCCTTTCTCATCCCTTCCCACTTGACTCATTTCCATCAGGAATTCAAAATATTACGGTGAGTGTTCTGAGTAGATTCTAATTCTTTCTCGAAATTATCAGGATATCGACACCAGAGTCGACTTGAATGATGACAAAAGCGAAATAATGTCCCAAATGGCTTCCAATCCCACTTTTAGCTAGGCGAAACATTCCATCGAATGGAACAATAAAGCACCCTCCCACAATTGTTTAGAAAAGATCTACTAAGGACACTAGGCCATGCCTGCTCAAATTGTGTGAGATTTGTCCCAATTTGGTCTTGATTGGATGACAGGCATGAAAATGTGCTCTTTGATAACTGAAAAAGACATGATCGAATCACTGTGTGATCACCTGAGCCTCCAGTATTGTTCTGACAAAAGCGAAATAATGTCCCAAGGGGCTGCCAATTCAACTTTTAGCTAGGCGAAGCATTCCATCGAATAGAATTGTAGGATACCTAACTGTGATAGTTTGGGCATGACCTATGAAGGACACCAGGCCATACCTACTCAAAAAGCGCGAGATGTGTCCCGATTTGGTCTTGACTGGATGACAGGCATGAAAAAGTACGATTTGTAAATGAAAAAGACATGATCGAATCACCGCGTGATTACCTTAGCTTTCGTTATGGTTTTGACTTAGTATATGGCGCGGATGAGGCTATGGCCTCTGCTGATACTAAGTAGCATAAGTGAAACTTAGGTCACATCTACTCCATTAGTAGGTGCTTTTAAATATTATAAACATTCTGTTAACCTACTGGTAAAAACGTCGGCTGCCTCGTTTGGAAGCTGGTTGCTCATTTGGATAGGTCGTCGGTTGTGCTGATGCCTTGCTCATGCATTAGCGGATATGAATCGCAGATAGGCGTCGATTCTTTCACAAATGCATCAGTATCAGTATATTTCAGGGAAAGTAGGTGTGTACCTCTGAATTCCCTATTGGTTACATGCAGAGGATATATATGGAGGAAATGGAAAGGAAGTAACATGAAACAAATGTGAGGGGAATAGCAAAAACTGTACAGATGAACACAGATTGTCATGCGTTAACAGAGTTTAGAGGCACATTAACTTGCTATGTTGATCAAATACAGCGGACAGTTGAGGCACACTTAAGATACGGGAAAAGAAGTAAAATTGTTTAGTTTACAGGCATCGTGGTAAATGCGACCAGCGGTGTGCGACGTGGTCCAAACTTAATAATTACATAAAAATATATTACTTAACTGTTGGTAGTAGCATCGTTATAACACTAAATTGTCCGCGTTGGCTGTCAAGGTGGCCGTAGTCCGGCGTTATTGTGGTGCGCGCTACAATGCTGATCTAGTCTCCATTTAAAAGTATCTACCGAGCCCGACATAACAACATCCTCAGGCAAGGCATTCCAAGCTGCAACCACTCTGTTGGAGAATAAGAACTTTCGGGTGTCTTGCCGGGCACCAGCCACACGCAGTTTGAGTAGATGGCCTCTCAGGTTAGTCGTAGTCGCCAACTCGAAGAAGTCTCCAAACGCGAGGCAGCAGCCCTGATTGCGCACGATGCGGAAAGCTTGTATCAGGTCCCCACGTAGCTGTCTGTAACTCAAAGGAAAGAGGTCAAGATTAGCTAATCGCGTTTCGTAGGGTAGTAACCACTGCCCAGATGCAAGTTTCGTTGCTCGCCGTTGAACTTTTTCGAGTATGCCCAAGTCTTTAGCGGTCCAGGGTCGCCATGCTTGGATAGCAAACTCCAGATGCGGTCGCACAAAAGTTTGAAAGACCTTGGCGAAGCAGTTTTCATCATAGGAGGAGAACGCCCGTTTGACAAGGTATAGCATGGACATCGTCGACTTGGCCACCTTTGAACATTGCAGCGAAGGCTTAAGCGAGGTTGTGATCCATACACCCAAGTCCTTCTGGGCGTTGACTTCTTGCAGTGGTTTGCCAGTCAGACGGTAGACCGTGTGGTTAGGAGAACTGGTTCTGCCGACGCGTAGGAAAGTACACTTGTTTACGTTAAACGGTAGAAGCCAGTCTTTCGACCATTGCTCGAGGTGGTCCAGACTTGTCTGCAGTCGCGCCTCCTCAACTTCGCTTCGTATCGTACTCCAGATCTTTATGTCATCGGCAAACATTGCGCATCGCAATTCAGTTCGTTTGCGCAGTCATTGACGTATACGAGGAACAGTGT